CACCTCCTTCTGGTCCGGGGGGGGATGATAGGAGGGGTCCCCGCAGCGCGGCTCTGGTCAGGGGGAGGCCGGCTGGTGCGCCGGCGGCCATCCCTCATTCTCCTTGTGCACCTGGCCCTCCTCTTCCCCCTCTCCTCCTGATCCTGCTTCTTCCTTCTGCTCCTTTTCCCTCCCTCTGCCCATTCCTCTCTTCTTCTTCTCCTTCTCCTCCGCAGCTATGCCGTACGGGATTGGGCAATGGGCAGCCCAACTACGACCAGACTTACCTGGTCCTCGGAGCTCCCGAGCCCAGGAGGGATCCCACACTTCAACGCCATCGGCAAGGGTGTTCACGGATGGGGCGACCATCGCGGAGCGTGGGGGCCGTTGTCCTACACGGAAGGGACGGGCTACGATTCCAGTGTCCCCGAGGTATGCCGTTGTGGGTTCTCAGTGGTTCAGCTTGATGCACATACGTGGTTACCAATTCGAGCTCGTTATGGGCTGCTACGTTACCTTGTTCAGACGGTCGGCCGTGCCGAGCGCTACGCTATTAAAGACTGCTTCGACGTGCACCCGAACCACGACACCTTCGTCTCCAACCTCCTCTCGCTCGTCAGCGAAGGGAACTGCTGGGACCCCAGGCTTGGGGAGGGCAAGGCTAAGCATGCCCTTGTCTGGAGGGACGAGGTCGCACCTCTGTGGGTCAGCCGAAGTTCCTGCCCTCCCGCACACCGTGGCGTAGAACAGCTATTGGACGCCGAGCTGTCGGATTTTATGATTTGGATCGGTAGCGCTTGGGGCGACTACTTCGCTAAATGTGAAACAGCATGTCACACAATGGTGTCCACCTTATCCGAGTCGGTCGTTCACACAGTGGGTTCCACCTTATCCGTCCACATCGGCAGGTCCTGCGATATGTTTCATGGGCATGTCTGAAGGCTGTCAACTTCAAGCAGTACGGGGTAGACGCGGACACTCCGCGTCACCTCAGCTCGCACGTTGCCCCAGACGTCTTCGGGCGCGTGCAGGACCGCCAGATGATGCACTGCAGAGCTCTAAAGCAGTACCGCTGCAGATCGTGCAACGCGACTGCCAGCACATCATCATCATTGGCGACGCTACGGTCAGGCTCCTTCAGAACTTGTGCACCAAGCCGCGTGGTGCGCGAGCTCACAAACGTCCACTTCCACGAGGCGCCGCATACATGGGAGCCTTCGGCCGAAGAGCGCGTCGAGATGGCGCTCAACGTGACGACCCAAGTTGATGAGACATGCACCTGACCTCCAACCGGACAATTACTTCGAAAATGACATCCTTGGTGCCTTTGGCCGACCTTGGGCACGATGCCTTTCGGGTCGGGGCCGCGCTTTGCTGCCGTCGATGCGGTGGTCACTGTACCGTGCAGGCCACTGGTACAGCGCTTGGGCTGAAGCGCCAGTGTGAAGGGCTATCGGCACATGCCTCACCACGTCGCAACCAGCTCACGGCCATCGACAGGGTGAGCCGTGGGCTGGCCCCCAGACAGCGTGGACAACACCAGCCTGATGGGGAGGAGGCTGCGTAGCCCAAGGGTGATGGACGACCAGGCTGTCGACGCCCAGTAAGGCGATTGGCGGCCAGGGTGCTGACGCCTAGACGAGTCCATCGTCGGCTACTTCAACCGCGTCCTCTCCGCCTACTTTGTCGCCGCCTCTGTGTTCCGCGTCGGCCTCCTCTTCGGTCGCCGCGCTCCTCTTCGGCGGCCTCTTCGCCGTGAGGTTCTGGTTGACGTCCTGCTTCAGCCTTTTCGTCTGCGTCGTCTGACACTGCTGCCCGCGCTTCTGCGCGGCCGCGTCCGGCCGCGGGCGCGCTGACCGCGGCCGCGCTGAGGGTTCGACTCGGCGCGCTCCCTGCGGCGCGCGCTCCTCCTCCTCCTCCTCCTCCTCCTCCTCCTCCTCCTCTTCATCCTCGTTCAGAAGGGCCGCGCGGCAATGGCAATTATCAGTCTCAGGAGGAGAGGAGAAGGAGGGGGAGGAGGAGGAGGAGGAGGAGGAGGAGGAGGAGGAGGAGGAGGAGGGGGAAGTCGAGGAGGAGGAAAAGGAGGATGATGTTGATGACGGAAGGAGGAGAGGGGGAGGGGAGGGACGAGGTGGGGAGGAGGAGGAGGACGATGCCGATGATGATCATAATGCTGAAGATGAGGAGAAGGACAAGGAGGATGAGGAGGAGGAGGAGGAGGAGGAGGAGGATCGTGATGATAATGGGTGGCAAACAGGGAATGTATGTGGAACAACCAGGGCACCTAGTATTTCATCCACCAGCGCTCACACATTCCTGATCTATCTTCATGTGTCTTACGTATGCCCATCGAGGTCATTGTTCCCCGGGGGGTCGGTGCCTTTGAGGTGGTTAGGCGCTCGTTGATCTGTCGACCACGGCTTCTTACAGATTTTGTGCATGCTACGAGTGAGAAGGGGGAGCATGCTGGAGATGGAGGAGGTGCGGGGGGGAGGAGGAGAGTAGGGTTTCGCCCCCTGGGCACCCGAGTGCCCGCGGGCTCAAGGCTCGAGGTTCGAGGTGGAGGGGAAAGGAAGAGGAGGGAGGAGGGGGAGGAGAAGGAGGAGGAGGAGGAGGAGGAGGAGGTGGAGGGAGATGACGAGGAGGAGGAGGAGGAGGAGGAGGAGGAGGAGGAGGGAGGAGGAGGAGGAGGGGGGAGGGGATGATGATGATTGATGATGATGATGATGATGATGATGATGATGATGATGATGATGAGGATGAGGATGAGGATGAGGATGAGGATGATGATGATGATGATGATGATGATGATGATGATGATGATGATGATGATGATGATGATGATGTGATGATGATGATGATGAGATGAGAGAGGAGAGGAGGAGGAGGAGGAGGAGCAGGAGGAGGAGGAGGAGGAGGAGGGAGGATGAGGAGGAGGAGGAGGAGGAGGAGGATGAGGAGGAGGAGGATGAGGGGGAGGAGGAGGAGGGGGATGAGGAGAAGGAGAAGGAGTAGGAGGAGGAAAGTGAGGAGGAGAGGGAGGAGGAGTGATGAGGAGAGTGGGGAGGAGAGAGGAGGAGAGGGAAGAGAAGAGGGGGGAGGAGAGGGAGGATGGAGGAGGGATGTTGGTTGGTTGGTGCCTGGGGAGGTGAGTGCTGGCGGACCTGCGGCCACAGTCTCCTTTTTGGTCGCCCGGCGGGGGCGCGCCCCGTCCCGTGGGGTCCCGACAGTCCTGGCGTCTGCTCCATTTGCCACACGAGTCCGGAGACATGGGCGCCGGGCGGACGAGGGGAAGAGGGCCACCGGGGCGCCGATAGGGACCCCCCAGCGCATCGAACGCCCGAGGCAGCACATCCTGGGAGCAGCATCGCCTCCGAAGGGCCATCAAGCCAAAAGTGACCTTGTCCCCTTGCCCGGCCACCGTGGAGCAGACAACAGATGAGCAATGTGTTACCAGCCATGGCCGTTCCAGCCGAAGGCCCCGACTGAGACTCATTCCTGAAACGCTCCTGTGCGGACCAGGCGCGAACCGCCTGATGGGGGATGCGTGAACTAATCCAGCCCGGTCTCGGTGTGACCCCGTGCAAGGGATACCGCAGTTTTCTCCTGTTGTGGGGGACAGGAGGTCTGGATCTGCCCCAACATAAAGAAGGCCCGGTCGGGAAGGGAGGCGGGGGGTAATATAGCGAACGCTTTGCCGCGTCACCCTGCTTGGTCCGCCCGGTCTCGACTGCCCGTTACGGAGGGAGAATGCGGGAGGGGGGGCAGGGAAGGAGGGGGGAGGATGTGTCAATTAGAGGGGGTGCGAGGGGTATGGGGAGGTGTTGGTCGTCGCTCCGACACGCCCCGCCCTGTCCCCTGGTTTCGTTCTCGCTTTGGAGCCGTCTCTAACGAATTCTTGCCCAGAACCGCGCAGCAGATGCGTCCAGGTCCTTTGTCCACACGGCCCCCGCCTGGTACCCGGCTTCTCCGGCGCGCGCAGCAAGAATTAGCCTCAGCAGGCCTTCTCCGCTCGCGCCTGCTTTGGCCGCGCGGAACCTCAAGCGTTCGGCCGCCAGGGTCGGTCAGCGCTCTAGCGCGTAATGTGCGTCATTCCGTGGATGTCTTCGTCGTACCAAATGCGGTTTTGCCGCTTCCCCACTGATCCCTGGCCTTTTTATGTGCACCGCATGAGATGCGCCCTGAGAATGTCCAGAGAACGCTGCCCCAAGAGAGCCTTCCAGGACAGGCCAGCGTTGTAGGCGTTCACGAGGTTATTGGCGTTCGCAAGATCGAGGATGGAGGAGGGAGGAGGGCGGGGGGAAGAGGGATGAGGGAGTAGGTAGGAGGGAGGAGAAGGAGGAGGAGGAAGAGGAGGAGGAGTGGAAGGAGGAGGAGGAGGAGGAAACTAAAAAGAATACCGAAAAGAAAAAAGTGGAGGAGGACACTGGCACGGGGCGAGCGCCTCTCCTCTTCCTCCGTCTCTTCTTCCTCTGGCGCAATCTCTCTCTCTTCCTCATCGCCGCCGTCTTCGTTTTCGCTGCTCTTATTCCGCTCCAGCAGGATTTATTCAGACTGGTGCCCGAACCGTTCGTGGGCCCGCCTTCCGAGCCGCGTCCAGCCGCAGCGACGACGTGAGCCTCCGAGAGGCCCAGAAAAGGGAGTGGATCAGGAGGAGGAGGAGGCGGAGGAGCAGGAGCAGGAGGAGGAGGAGGAGGAGGAAAAGGAGGAGGAGGAAGAGGACGAGGAGGAGGAACAGGAGGAGGAGGGAGGAGGAGGAGGAGGGAAAGTGATGAGAGAGGAGGGGGACGGACGGAGGGAGGGATACAAGGATGATGGAGAAGGGAGGGGAGGCGGAAGGATAATAAGGATGAAGAGAAGGCGGATGGCACTGTCTTTGACTGGAATGAGGGCGGGTGGAAACTGCGAGAGTGGGAAGCGACCGCGGCCCATTTTTGCTCAAAGTTTTTGAGGCGTCGCACCTCGGATGGTGCTCCCAGATTATTTGAGCGACCTCCTCCAGTCTGGCGCGCGGGAGATAGGTCGCGGCGCGGTGGCTGGCGTGGTGGCCAGCTGGACCGCGACTGGCGTGCAGTCGGAGGCCTGCCCGCTCCCACCGCCCTGTCCGCCGGGGCCGGCCTGCCCCAACCTGACCTGCCCGGAGCTGACGTGCCCCGAGGCGGTCTGCCCGGCGTGCCCGACGCTGGTCTGCCCTGAGGGGCCGCCGTGGGTGCTTCTTGCCGCGGCCCTCGTGTTCAACGGTGTGGTGGCCGCGGTCGGCGGCTTCTGTGCCGGCGCGCGACGCGGGGCTCGTCAAGATGCTGGTGGCAGCAGGAGCAGGCGACCTGCCCTCCGGGGTGGCGGCTTCATTGAGAAGGTTGATGCCGGGCAGTAGGATCCTCGTGCGCTACGTGGACGCTGGCGAGGACCTCCTGCACGAGCGTGTATGCCTGTGGCCGGTGAGCTTCGAGGAGTGGGTCACGGAGTCACCAGATGGCGACCAGATGCCAGAGCGTCTGACAGGCCCCGACGTCGAGGAGTTCATCGTGCTGGCGCCTGGTGGTGGGGTGCCTCGTCACGTGGTCTCGCCGAGGTACCGGTTCCGACGAGAGATCGGCGCCCGGGAGCTCCGCGGGAAGGTGATCGAGGCTCGGTACCAGGCGCGCCAGGCGCTCGCCGCTGGCGAGGCGCCGCTGCCCGCGCCGCTTCACACGCAGCAGTGGGACGGGCGCGTGGTGGCGCTCGAGGACTTCTGGCGGCTTGGGGGTGCGCCTGCCCGCCGTGGGCGGGGCAAGGCGCCACCGACTGTGCTGGACGCGCCCGACGACGAGGACGACGACTTGGGGGGCACCCAGACTCCTCCACCTCGAGAGGAGGCTGTCGCCGCCGCGGCGACCGCCATCGTGGAGGACGAGAAGGACTACCGCTGGGTCGTCGGCGAGCCGAACTCCTCGTTCCCGCTCGGCACCGAGTTCACCGTCGCGACGATCCTCAGCGAGAAGGACGCCCGCAGGCTGGGGGATCGGATGCTGGTGAGCGTCACCGCGTCCCCCGCCTCGGGCCGGACCGCCGAGGGCGTCGTGGTGCTCTACCGCCTCCACGTGGACGACGTTCCTGGTTTCGGGGCCCGGCGCTGGAGGGACATTGCCGCGCTCATGCCTAGCGACGGGCCTGCGGCACCTGAGCCTCCTTTGCCGGCCCCGGTGGACGCGCCGCCTGAGCCGGACCTTGACGACGCCAGGACCCTGCCCGTGCAGTACGACGAGCAGGGCGAGAGGTTCCGCTCGTGGAAGGAGGCCGTCGCCAAGATGCACGAGAGCTTCTATGAGGACTGGCCCGTCGAGGGCCCGCGTACCATGCTTTGGATGGCGAAGAACATTGAGAGGACTGGAGGTTCCCCGATGCAGTGGTACCACAAGTATCTCGCCGAGAATCGCATTGCTGCTTCGGACCGCCTCGCGTACGAGCTACAGGCGATGTGCCGCCTGTTGGAGCACGCCGGGTGCTACGATCAGCTCAACCTCGCGTCGCTGGCCGCGTTCGAGGTGTTGGCGAGGAGGATGCAGCTGTTGCTGGACGCGGCCAGTCGTGGTCCTGGAGAGGGCCGCTTTGAGGACGAGGAACTGTGGTCAGGCCATCAGCAGCGGACTGCGGGGATCGCCCCGGCCCTCACCGCTCACGTGGCCACCCGTGCCAAAGAGAAAGCCGAGATCGAGAAGCAGCGCCAGAAGGCCCAAGAAGTGCGCGCAGCCACCGCCCACCCGAAGGCAAAGGCAGCCGCCAAGAAGGGGGCTGGAGGCGCGGCAGACGCTTAGCTGTGCGACGGCGACTGGCAGGGACCCCGCTGCTAGTCGCTTCTACCTCAGAGGGGCAGCGCTTCCAGGCGCAGTTTTTCAGCTCAGGCTCGCGTTCGTCGCCTACCTGAGCTTCACCTTCTTTTTCCAGATGCAGCCTGAGGTCTTCCCTTTGCCGTCGCTGACAATGGAAGGGCCTCGCCGTCCTGGGCTCAGCCGAGGCGTGTGTCAACGAGTCGCTCGTCGTCAGGCCATCACTCGTCGTGCCAACGATGCCATCTCAACCCTGAACTGGCTGAGCGGGTGCGGTGGGGCGGCCCCCGAGGGGATATGCTCGCCGGCGCAGGCCGAGGCCGTCCAGCACATTAAGGGCGTGATGGGGCGCTCTCAGGCTGTTGATGTTGTTCCGCGTCCGCATGAAGCCGCACGCGCGCTTCTGCGTTCCCGAGCCGGATATGACTCGGATGAGCACATTGTGAGCGACTACCAGGAAGAGCTGTTGTCGGTACCCGCGTCGTGCAAGGACTGCCCCTACGCGGTCGATGCGGTGCCTGCTGAGGCTGCATCAATGCTGGTAGATTTTGAAGAACGTATGGTCAGGCCTGACATCGAATTTTGGGAGCTGGAGGACAACTCGGAGCCGGTCACCCCCTACATGGACCGAAACTTGTCGGGGGATCGACAGGCCTACATCAAGTTTGTCCGTCGGCTGGAGTCAATTGGTGTGTTGCGGTGGTGCACCGCTGTCAAGGAGCGCGCCACCGTGTTCTGTGTGAAGAAGAAGTCGGGGATGCAGCGGCTAGTGGTCGACGCTCGCCGCAGCAACCGCCGCTTTCGCGATCCCCCCGGAGTGGAGCTGGCCACCGCCGAGTCGCTAGGGCTCATCGAGGTCGACGACGACTCGGAGGTGTTCATCAGTACAGGCGACGTGCGGGACGCGTTCTACCGCTTCAAGATCGATGTGGAGCTCAGCCGCTACTTCGGGCTGCCACCGCTGCGAGCGGAGGAGCTCCACCTTCACGAGGCTGAGGGGGAGTGGCTGTCGGCGGACCGCTGGGTGCACCCCTGCTTCGCGGTGCTCCCCATGGGGTTCAAGTGGTCACTCTACCTCGTGCAGGGGGCGGTCACCAAGCAGGTGGAGGAGGCCACGGGCGCGACCGCCGATCGGCGCCTGCAGACGTTTGGCGGCTCGCGCCTGATTACCTCAGGCGGGCAGCCTCTCCACTACGTCTACGTGGACAACGTAGGCTTTCTTGGCGGTCAGCCTAAGGAGGTGCAGACGATGAAGGATTGTGCTTGCGAGCGATTGGACGGCGTGGGGCTGTCCACTCACGAGCACGTCGAGGCTCAGACTCAGTCGGAGGTGCTGGGCGTGGCGATCGATGGCGGCAAGGGCATTGTGGCCACGTCGCTCAAGAGGATGTGGAAAGTCGACAGCCTGCTGACCTGGCTGCTGGACCGTGGAGTTGCCTCGGGGCACCAGCTGGAGTCGACCGTTGGCCACCTGACCTTCATTTTCATGCTCCGTCGCCCCCTGTTGTCGGTTCTGTCTGCGACCTACCAGTTCATTCGTAGCGCTGGTGGTGAGCAGATCGAGCTTTGGCCCTCTGTGCGGGCCGAGCTTGGTGCAGCGCGAGCCCTGCTACCCTTTGCATTTGCTCAGTGGAGATTGCCCTGGCATGGCGAGGTGGTGGCGACGGATGCCTGCCCTACCGGATGGGGAGTCGTCGAGAGCTCTTGGAGTGACAAAAATGTGAAGCAGGTTGGGAGGGTCGACGAGCGTATGCGATTTCGGGTCCGACAAGATATGGCTCATCGTGCACACGCTCTGGCAGGTTCTCGAGATGCCCTGGAGGACAAGTTCACCGTGTACGTCCCTAAGGGGACGAATGACCCGAACGAGTACTGGGAGGAGGACCCCAAGTTCCCCGACATCAGCCCCGACTGGATCCACGAGGCCCCCTGGAAGTTTGTATACGCTGGAAGGTTCTGCCGTAGGGAGGCCATTCACATTCTGGAGGCGAAGGGGATGATCTGGGCCCTTCGTCGGCTCGCAAAGCGCCCTGGTATCGGTGGTCGTCATGTCGTCTTCTTGGGGGATAGCATGGGCCAGATCCTGGCGTTCTGCAAGGGGAGGGCCTCGGATTTCCAGATGAACATCTGCTGTCGAAGGTGGTGCGCCCTTTCCCTGGCCCTCAACATCCGTTGCCATGTTCGTTGGGTGCCGTCTGAGCTCAATCCCGCCGACGGGCCTTCGCGGCGGTACGAGCCTGGGCACAAGCGGCCGAAGCCCAATGCGGTCGCAGGGGCTGGCCCGGCCGCCGCCGGTTCGGCGAGAGGATCGGCGCCTGTTGAGCAACGGGCGCAACGCTGCACAGAAGGCGTCGGCTATCCCGGCGGCTCGGCCGCGGAGGGAGATCCCGCGCCTGTCGAGGAGCGTGCCGATCTCGCAGCCGGCGAAGCTGAGGAGGCTGAGTACGGCGCTGGCGAGGCAGGACCGCTTCTCGGTGGAGGTCGACGCCCTCGGCCGCTCGTTCCTGGAGACGAAGGCCGTGGGGGAGAAGGTCGACCAGCAGTACGTGGAGGTGATGGAGGGGTTCGTGCAGGACTGCGCCAGGCTCGGTCTCTCGCTCGACTCCCCGGAGGAGGTCGACTTCGCCCTGATCGAGGTGTTCGACGAGAAGTTCTTCAACGGCATGGACGGGAGCGTCGGGCACTACCTGCTGGCGGCCATCAAGGGCATCCGCCCGGAGTTCGGGCGGGCTGGGGCCCTTCGGCTTCCCCGTGCCCACCGTGCCCTCCAGGGCTGGGACCGCCTGGCTCCTGGGCAGTCGCGGCTCCCCGAGGCGCGACCGGCGTGGGCGGCCCTGATGGTGGAGCTGGTGCGGGCGGGCTTCCGCACGATGGCCATCGAGACGCTGGCCGCGCTTGTGACCTACGCGCGGCCTGGGGAGATTCACGAGCTGAAGGCGATGTGGCTCATCCCCCCGTCGTCGAACGTGGGGCCCCACTGGACGTTCGTCATCCGGCCGTCCGAGGAGCTGAGGCCGACCAAGGTGGGGATCTACGACGACACCGTCATCTGGGACAAGGAGGAGGCGTGGACCACGCAGCTGCTGCGCGAGCTGGTGCGCGGCAAGAGCGGCGACGAGCCCGTCTTCAACTACAGCTACGCCGCGTACCTGAAGCAGTTCAAGGCGGCTGCGACGCGGCTGGGGCTTCCAGAGCTGGTTCCCTACCAGCTCCGCCACAGCGGCGCGTCGTGGGATCGGCTGCAGCTGCGACGCACGCTGGACGAGATCATGAAGCGTGGCCGCTGGGGCAGCCACAAAAGCGTCGCCCGCTACGAGAAGGGCGGCCGTGTGCAGGCGCAGTGGCAGCGGTTGCCCAAGAGCTTCCAGCAGTTCGCCTTGTGGTGCGAGGCCAACCTGCAGCGCGTGATGCTGGACGGCCTCGCCCCGCCCGCCGCACCGTCGCTGCCGCGCAGTGGGCTTTTGAGGACGTCTACTCCGGCTGCGGAGGTGTCGCGGCGGAAGTGACAAAGCTTGGAGGCCGTGCGACAGTGACTGATGTCGTGCATGGCCCAGATCATGATCTAACAAAGAATCGAAATCAACAAAGACTTTTGAATCGCGTCCGAACTGGCAGAGTGAAAGGAGTGATGATCGCAACCCCTTGCCACACACTGAGCCGGGCACGTCGTGGGTGCCCACCGCCGCTCCGATCCAACGAGTTTCCCTGGGGCTTGGCAGGGCTCAGTGCCGTGGACGTAGAGAAGGTGCATATCGGTAACTTGCTGACCAGGTTCACAATCAAGCTGGTACGCCTCTGCCTGAGGATGAAGGTCCCGTGCGTCGTCGAGAACCCTCTCACCTCAATGTTCTGGATCCTTCCTGAGGTTCTAAGGTTGCTCACCTGTCCGCAAGTCAAATTAGAACGAGTAGATTTTTGCCAATTCGGAACCCGATGGAGAAAAGCAACTAGACTCATGCTGTGTAATATTCCTGACGATGTGTGTAGGACTCTGGACTCTTTTAAGTGTAAAGGGCGGGGGTTGTGCTCTCGGTCTGGTCGCCCCCACCTCGAGCTCTCTGGCAAAGCCCCGAATGGGAAGTTCTGGACCTTAATTGCACAGCCCTACCCCCCCCGCCTTTGTAAAAAGCTCGCAGAGGTTTTTCACTTGTGTCATCTCGCTCGGTCTGGTCAGGGACTGCTTTCAAACTTGTCGTGATCTAAGGATCCCAGGGCATTCATGGGCCCGGGGCACAAAGTGGTCTTGGGTCTCTGGAGAAGCTTTCAGAGGCTCTGCCGACTGCAAAGCGTTCGTGAGATGATGTTGTCTCGTCTGGCTGCACACCGCATGATATAGAAGCGTCTGCGTGAAAACGATGGCCCTCATGGCACTGTCTTTGACTGGAATGAGGGCGGGTGGAAACTGCGAGAGTGGGAAGCGACCGCGGCCCATTTTTGCTCAAAGTTTTCCCTCCCAATTTTATGTGACTCTCTTTGCCCAACCCTGCTGTCCCTGACCTTGCCTGGGGTCTCTGGAGAAGCTTTCAGAGGCTCTGCCGATTGCAAAGCGTTCGTGAGATGATGTTGTCTCGTCTGGCTGCACACCGCATGATATAGAAGCGTCTGCGTGAAAACGATGGCCCTCATGATGATGAGATGATGATGATGATGATGATGATGATGATGATGATGATGCTGATGATACGGATGATGATGATGATGATGATGATGACGATGATGATGATGATGATGACGATGGTGATGACGACGATGATGATAATGACGCTGATGATGATGCTGATGCTGATGATGTTGATGATGATGCTGCTGCTCATGATGATGATGCTGATGATGATCAGGCTGATGCTGCTGATGATGCTGATTATGATGATGATGATGCTGCTGTTGATGATGATGAGGAGGACGAGGATGATGATGGCGATGATGATAATGCTGCTGCTGCTGCTGATGCTGATGATGATCATGATGATGATTATGATGATGATGCTGATGATGATGATGATGATGATGATGATGATGATGAGGAGGATGAGGATGAGGATGATGTTGCTGATGGTCATGCTGCTGATGATGATGAGGAGGAGGAGGAGGAAGATGCACAGCGTGATGATGATGAGGAGGAGGAGGAGGAGGAGGAGGAGGAGGGGGAAGGGGAGGAGGAGGAGGAGGAGGAGGAGGAGGAGGAGGACAAGGATGATGATGATGATAATGATGATGATGATTGATGATGATGATGATGATGCTGATGATGATGATGCTGCTGCTGTTGCTGCTGCTGCTGCTGATGATGATGATGATGATGATGATGATGATGACGATGATGATGATGATGATGAGATGATGATGATGACGATGACGATGATGATGATGCTGATGATGATGATGATGGAGGAGGAGGAGGAGAGGAGGAGGATGGGGGGGGGGGAGGGGGGAGGGGGAGGGAGGAGGAGGAGGAGGAGGAGGAGGAGTAAGAGTAAGAGTCCCAGGACAGTGTCCACACCCTTAACATCAACACGGGAGCCCCTTCTGTGCTCGCCTGGCCTTCTCCTTGGTACTATATACCTTAGGCCATAAACCTCTCTGAATTCGATCGAGATACTCAGCTCGGGTGGGCGTCACCCGATCAGGGCAGACTCTTCCTAACCCAACGGGCTGCTGATCACAGAACATACCACACGACGCACAGAACCACACCTGGACATCCTGATTAAACCGCATCTTGTGCGAGACATGGACAACTCCCCCCGCGAGGTGCAGCTCGACCCCCCTTGGAAGAACCCGAAGGGACCCATCAAGAGCAATCAACCTGAAACACGGGGAAGCACGCCACTTCCGCAACTCGGAGCTCGACGAGGACCCGCGACACCGACGGCACCGACGCCCCGATTCGTCGAGCGCGTGCTGGGTGTTAAAAACAGACAGGGCCTCATGACAAGGGGGAGGCGGAGGGGGAGGAGGAGGAGGAGGAGGGGGGGAGGAAACACCGCTCCCGACTCCTTCACTCACAACTCCGAGCGGACCCATCCGCCCCTGGCGCCCCGCCTTCTTCTCGAGCTCCTCCGCGGCCAGGGCGTCCAGCGACGCCCTCAGCAGGCGCATCCTCACGAGGAACGCCTCATGCTCCACCTGCTGCACCTTGGCCCTGACCGCCTGTGGCAGCCGAGCCTCGCTCGCTGCCTCGCCCGCCAACCTGTCGGCCAGCGCGTTGCCCCGCACCAGCCACAGAGGCGTGCCGTTCTCCTCGGCCTCCGCCTCAGAGAGGTGCGAGTTCACGAACAGGACCACAAAATGGGCGGGGTCCCGCTCCTGGAACTCGACGCCCACGAATGCCCAGAGTTCAGCCAGGTCCCCTTGCGGGTGGCGGTACCGCTGTGCATACCATCCATCGTACACCATCTTATTATCACACACATACACTGCAAAGTCGCTAGTCAGACGCGCAGCCATGAGGAGCATCGTCAACTCTCCGCGCGGCACGGTCTGCTCACCGACAAGCGGACCCTGCAGCGTGGCGATCTCCTCCAGGTCGGCCTCCGACTTGACGACTGACAAGCCACACCCAACGCGACGGAACCTCGGGTCACGGGAGTCGGGCCCCCCGCTAGCGTCCCCGAACATCACGACGGGCGCATACTCTGCTCCTGGTCCCAGACTGTTCTCCTCCGTGCCGTTCAGCAGAGCG